ACAGCAATAATGAAGTAATAAATAGCCAAGGACTCAGCAGATAGGAGTGATGCCAAATCAAATTAAGTTGTATTATATTCTCAGGAAAAGAAGCTATTAAACTTGTGAGGTCAGAGTGCCGTCCACCTCATTTATTAGCATCCTCTCATAAGCTGCCGTCTCTGGGGACACCGTGCAAGGGCTGAGCTCCTATCTGTGTGGACTGTCTGAAGAATTGCCACTGTGTCAGCAGGCATTCATGGGCTGGCTGTGCTGGGGGCTGTGATGCACCTCTGACAGCTCCGTCCATTTCACACGGTTCCTCATCCACAGTAGGTTGTCTGACAGAGGGGACACAGCCTGGTGGCTGGGGCTCCCTAGTCCCATTTCAACCCCTACCCACCATGATCCTGGTCCCCCAGCCAGGGATGTGTTAGACAGCATGCCATTCTCTAAGTCCGGGGCTTGGAGTCTCTCAGTTCTTTAGCTAAACTTTGTCTTCTACCCCCTAAAATTATGTAGAAAAAATTAGGTGCCAGGGCGGCTGGGTGGCTCAGTCAGTTAACCATCCAACCCTTGATTTTGGCTCACGTCATGACCCCAGGGTTATGAGCTCAAGCCCTGTGTTGGGCTCCACGCTGAGTGTGGAGTCTGCTTAAGATTCCCTCGCTCTCTCTACCCCTCCCTGTCTTGTGCTCGCTCGCTCTCTCTCTCTCAAAAAAGAAAATTATGTGCCCCCTTGTCCAGTTTAAAGTTAACTCCTGAAATTACATGTCAAGTTTAGATAGTTCAAAAGGGTGTGATATCTGCCATGTTACATGGTATGAGCTTTACATACGTTTTTGGCAAAGCTCTGGCACTGCCTATGACATTTACAGGCAAGATTCACTACATAATCTAATGGGCAAGGGTTCGTGTGGTCAAACCACCCAGCCAAATAAGTCTTTCTTTCTGGAAGAGCCAAGTGTGATTTCATTTTTTCAATTCAAATAAACTTAATAAGCATTTGACTTCTAAATGTGAATCCTTAAGTCCGTGGACAGACAGATAGGAGCACACAACCTTGCCAAGAGTTTGTTGCCGGGGCAAAATCAAGGATTATCTCTTTGGCTATGCCTTACCCTGCTCTCCTAGGACTCTCTGAGAGGCAGGGCATTTAAAAATTGTCCCCTGGTAAGAGTCAGGAGGGTGAGAGGCGTGCATTTGTTTTCTGAAGGGCAGGACAGTGACTGTAAAAGTGTGAGTGGCCTGCAGTGGGGACTTAGAGATCACGGACATGTTCTTCGACAAGTGAATTTTAAGAAAGAGCACACGTGGAAGTTAAGGATCCAAACCTGTAGTTCCTTAGAATCACACGTGCCCTGATAGCCCTGGGAGAGTTGTTACGTGCCACAGGGATATGTGTGCCCCAGGCTAAAAGCCCTGCTCGGAGACATAGCAGCACTTTCCAACTACAACAGTCTGTGACTGCAGCTGGTTAGCGAGGCTTCACTTGGTATTTGTCCTCACTCCTGTTTGACAGAGACCTGTCAGGTAGAAGGGTCAGAACCATAGAACTCAGCCTTTCTTTCTGTTCAATACCTGTATTTCGTCAGGTCTGAAGTTGCCGTTAAAATAAAAACAAACTCCCCAAATAAGCAAAGAAAGGCACTATTGCTCTCCAGAAACGTAAGGGCATTTAGGGCCACATCTGCTCTGGAGTGGGGTGTTTCAGATGCCAAGACCAGGAACATTGAAGGAGTTAGGAGGAGGGGACATACTGATTCAGGGCCAGAAGGAAGGTAGGTTGAAGAAGGGAGCCCGCTTTTTTAATCATTTATTGTGAAATACGTAGAACTTTCACAATAAACCTGTAAGATTAGATAGAACTCCATGAGGAAACAGACTCAGAGAGGGTAACTCACCCAAGCCCACAGCTCATTAGTGCCAGTGCAGAGGTTTGAACCTAGTTCATTCAGTCTTGGTGACTTTAAAGTCATATAATACTGCCTCTCTCATTGGTCAATACCTACTATAGAGTGGGCTGTCTTTTCTTTTTTAAGTATTTTATTTAACTATTCTGGAATAGTTCACATGAATGGGCTGTCTTTCTAACACCCTTAGTTCATTCTCAAAACAACGGCAGTGACATCAGTAACAACATGGACAGTAGGAAGAATTTCAGTAACATCTGAGTACCAATCCAATTATAAATCTAAATGTGACCAGCAATTGTTTCAAGAGGAAGAGGGCAAGTGGCTGAAGTCGAAGGCTGTGTTACTTCCCTTGGAAAGTGAAGACTTTTATAGGCTATTTGAGATAAAGTTTTGTGTTAATACATACTAGCTTATATACAAAGTGAAGAAGCATTCAGGGGATGCTATCTCATAGTAATTGTATATTGTGTAACTTTCCAGGAGAGACCACACACAAGGTGAGCAAAGTTCTGGGTTACTGATTCACTTAAGATCCTTTTTCTTCTTCGTTGTTGTGGAAAGTAGCTTATTACTTAATTATGAAAGTAAATATACTGTATTTGAGTATGCCATTCTGGACAAAATCTCTCTCTCTCTCTCTCCCTCTCCCCCCCTCCCCTCCAGCCTCCCTCCCCCACATTTCTCTCTCCCTTCCCCTCCCCCTCCACCCTCTCACCTGCTAGGCTGTAAAATCTATGATGACAAGACTGTGTCCATCATTGATTGTTATGCCTAGAATCATGCCTAACACATAGTAGACAGTCCATAAATATTTAGCAAATGAAAGAATCAGTGATATGCCAGAATCTCAAGATCTCAGGCTTTTAAACTAGGAGATGAACGGTATCTTTCAGACTCCAGAATAGATCTCTTTTAGGGTCATGAGAAAAGATTCTGTCAGTCAGGGCTTCTCTGATCCTTCCTCCAAGCCAACTCTGCAAGTCTTAGAATAAAGAACCTAGCAACTAGAAAAGCACTCAATTTATTTTTAATTTTATTATACTCAGTTTGGGGGGAAAGGGTTGTTGACCTTTTTTGTGAATATGATGAAAATTATAGCCTTTCTCAAACAAAGGAACACACAAAATTTGGTGTATAATTTAAGTAGGCTCATGAACCCTTTATGCATCTCAAGTTGAGAATGCTGCAAAGGGAAACGCAGCCTAAGGAAAGGGCACAGCCAGCCTGCTATACCGCTCGTACTTGAAGGAGAGCTGACAAGAGAACAGGAAGGGCTTGCTTTGGCTGTAATACCAAAGGGGAGACTGTGGCGCCAGTTCCAACCGTGTCTTGATTCTGGTGAGACACTCTCATAAAAGACCCTTTGTTCCCTTTGGGACAGATGCCACCAAACACTACTCCTTATGACAGTCCACTGTCCGGCCCTTCCTAGCTGCACCCTTCATCCTGTGATTGGACCACAGGCGGGAAAAGGGGAGAAATAAGGCAGAGTTTGGGACAGTGAAGGTTGCTGAGGTGGTGTTTTTGGCTCCTAGAGTACATTTACATTAATTTCAGGCTCCGTGTCTTGAAATGTTTTTGCCCTTAATGGAAGTCCTACGAGTCTGCTGCCTGGGATATTTTCCTTGAAAGTCTCTCCCAAATGGATGCAAAACAGCACAGATTTTATATAGACCTAGATAGTCTGTTGCAAGATAAAAAATTTCTAGGTCATAGCTGGGAGCGGATGCACCCCAGACCTTCCCTCTTCTCCAGCTCCTATCTCCACCGGAGGAAGGAGATTTTTTCTGCCTTTCTAAGCACCCCCTGCCTCCGCATCACTGCTTCAGATTTCATCCAGCCCATACTAATCCTTAACTTGTATGGACACAGACCTTACTGGTGGCTGAGGATTTTCCGTCTCAGCTTCTCTTTCTTCCTCTGCAGAGCGGGGATCGCACCACCAGTCCCTGTGTCCTGGGTCGTGGATTGTCATGAGCAGTGCTTAGCTCAGGGTCCCTGGGACACAGTAGGCACTTGATCAAGTTGACTCTTAGTATTTTAAGGACAGTGGCCTCTAGAAGCAGAAGAGGAGGAAGTAGGCAAGTTTGCTCCTTATGTCCTTCTTAGCGGGCTCGCTTCTGCCCCCTGCCCTTGTCTTGCCCGGTCCCTATATCAACAGTGTCCTCCACCCCCCGCCCCCCCATCCCCGGGACCAAGCCAGGGAGGCTCTAACCTCAGGCACCCGAGGTCCTAGCCATGCTCTGGGACTCACAGCTCATTTTTTGTGCCTGAATTATCACTGACATTTAGGACACCCTGGTCAGAGTAGTAATAAGTATTCCTTTCAGCTCCCTCCTCTCCTCCCTTCCTGTTGTTTTTACTTCTCACTTCCTTTTTGAAAACAACTATCTCTTAGCACTTCTCTGTGCCTAGCACGATACCAGTGCTAGATTATGCTAGTGCTAACAAAATAAACAGCATTGCTACACTTGTATGCTCCAGTCAGAGGGAGGGGGAGAGTAAATAGCAAACAGTTCATAGGGTATGATAAGGACAATTGAAGAAATAAAATGGGGGGATGACCAGGGGACCCTACTTAGATAGAGTACCTCCCCTGAAGAAGCCACATTTGAACCCTATGACTGTTCTAGGGCGGGATTGACACCTTGGCTTAACTCCCAATGAGAAGTGCTGCGGCCAGTGCAGAGTGATGGCTTCTCATTGTTTTTCTCTCCTAACAGTAGGATTTAAGGCTTAGGGGAAGTCAAACTGCTGAGTTTCACTAGCTCTTTGTCAAGTAAGCTTAAAAAATATTATGACTCTCACCTGCACCTTCATAGATACTCACTTAACTGTGTACCAGGCATTATGTGCTTTACATGTCTTGTCTTATTTATAAGTAACCCCGGAAAGCAGGGTCTATCACCAGAGTTATCCCTGTAGTCAGAGAAGGAAACTAACTTAGAGAAGCCGACTAACTTGCCGTGGCCAGCGCCCAGCGGTGGTAGCCGAGGAGTGGGGTCCAGGGCGGTCTGAGAACAGGGCCTGTGCTCTCGGCCGGTAGACGAGGCTTTTCCCCTTCTCGTGCTGTCGTGACTCACCTGGCTCTCCTTTCCTCTACAGCGGTGCCAGTGAAGACGAGGACACATGAAGGCTGCCATCCCCCGTGGAAACTCCTCACCCCCTCCCCCGTGTGTATGTGACGGCGTGTGTGTAACGGCTTCTGATTTCTGTGAAAGCTGCCCAGCAACAAATGTACTTCCACCAGATACATCCCCAGGTCCACGGCAGGCACACATCTGTCAAAGGGATGACCGATTTTATTGTCACTGTGCTTGTCATTCTCTCGTCATGGTAGGTCAACAAAAAGTGCCCCTGTGATCAGCCAGGAGCAGTTCATTAAGAAGCGCCCTTCAGGTAGCCCCTCGATGGCTGCTTTGAACTTACTCAGGAAAGCCAGCCCCTGGAATATTGTATACCCAGATGGCATTGCTTCATCTGGGAGGATCTGTAATAATCTTGAAGGGCAGTCAGAATTTGTTCCCTACCTGCTAATAAAACCCCACTTTGTTTATACAGAAGCATGAAATAATGGGAGAGGGGCAAAGTAGGGCTCTGTAGATAGTCTCTGAAAGTCCAGTCATACAGTTGTGAAAATGTGGTTCCATGAGGTAAGATGGTGGCGTGAAGATGGGGTTAGAGAAAGAGTTAAAAGTCCGAAATACAGAGATATTTTTAGTATATAAGGTTATCCAGCACTTCAGATCCATAATTCAGTGCTGTGGAAATGAAAAAAATGATTGAAGAGGTGGAAAGGAAATGACTTTAAAAAAAAAAAAAAAAGACCAAGGAGATCTGATTAAAAGTTGAAATCAGTATTTCTGAACTCAAATTGCCTGAGTTTCCAAAATAGTCACTAAGGGACCTGATGGAGCCTGAATTATTTGCGTGAATTCTGCCGGTTTTCTGGGTCTTGTCACAACACGAAGTCTGGAGTGTATATTGCGAAGTGGGAGTTTTTCAGTGTGGGCTTTGGGCGCCCTCGCCCCAACCCCCTTGGCCTCATGTGGCTTCAGTGCAGGGTAGGGAGAGATCTCATCGCCCTGGTGTGCTGAGTCAAGCCCCGTCTCCCAGCAGGTGCCCCCACCTTTCACTGCAGCTGGAGCCCCTCTTCCTGGCACCCGCCCTCTGGCCTCCGGCCCCTCTCCTGCAGCCAGGCTCTCCCCTCTCGAGTACTGCGAGCAGAGACGCACCGTGGTGCACTTCCCCACCCCTTCCCCACATTTCCTCACCCCCAGGTATTCTACCCCCAAGGAAGCCGTGATTTCTAGGGAGTGCAAATCCACAAGCTTAAAAACTTGCATTTCCTCAGACACCAGTTTCACTTAAATGGTTTGGAGTCAGGGGATGACCTTATTTTTAGATAGAACGGTTACATTATGAAATAGAATGTTCATACACACAGTAAAGATACAATGGGACACTTCACAGGGAATTCTTATTTGCACATGGGGTGTGTGTTCCCTGTCCTATGCCTTTGGCGGTGTTTTGGCATCCACTCCTGGGAAGTACAATCAGAACTGTATCCATACAGCTGACTCAGGGCCTGGACTTCTAGTTGCTTCTGAAGCAGAGCTGAGACACCTGCTCTGGGGAAATCCCTCTCCTCCGACCTGCTCGTGACCTGTGTACGTGTCACAGAGCTTTGGGGCCAGCTGGTGTGTGTGTGCGGGATGGTTTTGGGGCCGAAGCAGCGTGGTCCTGTAGGAATCTTATTTATATCATTGTTCAATCCTGTGTTTGCTGTGAAACTATTTCTTTGAGGCCAGGAAGCTACCGGGCATGTTTGCTTTTGGCTTAGGCTTTCCCTGGCTCACTACATATGTTAGGATGTTGGGACCGAGAGTCCTTTGGGCAGTTAAAAAAAAAAAAAAGTATTTTTCTCCCAAACTGGTGGTCAGCAAATGACTAAGACAGTTTTGGTGCTTTCCCTATCTGCCTGCAGAGACTGGAGAATTTGGCATACCACTAATTACAACCCCCAACCTCACCCAACAGAGCTCCCCGAAAAGAAGGACCAGTGGCTACTCTTATAAGAGTTTAAAAACCAAGAGATTAAGAACACTTGAGGATTTGGATGTTTGTGTTTGTCTTTTGCCAATAATTATTGTTGAATCTCCAAATAGTAGCCTTATCTCAGCAATGGACAGACCATCGGCTCCTCCATACCTATCTGCTGTTACCAGTATCTGGGAGACCCGAGCATATATGCGGTGGATATGAACAGAACTATAAAAACACATGCCAGCCTATCTCTGTCTGTTATCATATCTCTGTAATCCTCAAGGAAAGCACTTTTGCTTTTACTTAGGATTTCAGATTTGCTCAATGGGCTCCTGCTGTCTTCAGCACCTGATAAAACTTTAACCAGGGAAGCATTAAACACGGCGCAACGGCTTCTGCCCAGGCTCCCGAGTTCCTGCCAGGAGCATTTATCAATGTAAGAACGAGGCTGCTTCCTGCAGCAGCACCAGCCCCCCGGAGCTGGAGCCCGCTGCTCAGCCTCAAGCCCCAGCAGGATGCGGCCGCGCTCCTGCCAGCTCAGTAAAAGTTAGAGTGCCCCAAAGTGTGTGCTGACCAACTGCAGGCTGTAGCAGGGTTGCAGAATCCCCAGGGAGAAGTCACTGAGGGAGGCAGGTCATGAGTGTCGTCAGAATGAATTGGGTCCCCATCGCAATCCCTGGCTGCTTTCCAAGTTTTGGTTATCTGGAGGCTGAGAGTGGGTGTGTCCTTTGATTTGATGTCATTCACTCCAGGGCAATTCCAAGAAGTCCTAAGAGTCTTAGCTGCAACAGCCCAGTAGGGAAAATGACCTATATTGAGGACCGGCTGTGAGCCAGGCCTGGCACTAGGCCCCAGTTTCTCAGCTGATGAAATGGATGTGGGGTGGAAGAGCCCCTTGCCTTGAGTTCCACAGCTAGGAGGTACTGGAGCCAGACTTTGAGCCCGGCTCTCCCCAGCTCTTTGGTGGTCGGTGGCACATCTATAATACAGAGGCAGGCAGAGGCCTCAGGCCCCACCACTGCAGTCCGACCATCCCACTTCATAGCTTCTTTTTCAAAATTCCATTTCGTGGCTATTGTTTGGGCTCCGAAATGGCATCCAGGTAGCCTCGCCGTGCCACGTTAGCAGATACGTGAAGTCCACATTGCTAACTTGAGCCTGCCTCCAGGAGTTGGGGCAGCCTTTCCTTTCTGGTGCCATCTCCCATAAATAGAGTGTTTCTAGGCCTTCAAGAGTATAGAAGTTCTTAGAAATAGAGTGAAGGGTGTTCTGCTAAGTTTGCTTGGAAATGTCTGCTGCTGCACTGCCACAGGGAAGGCCGTCCTCATGTGTTAGCCCAGCCCGTCCTGTGCTCTTTGAGGATGTGTTAACTCAAAGTCCAGTGAATCTGGACTTTCCTGCTGATACATGATACGGACATGTGTGCACACATGCACACACACACGCACGCATTGTGAGTGCGTATGTACACATCAAGGACAAGGGTACGTGCATAGACACACACACACATTCAGTATAAGAACTAAGGGGAGTTCAGGGCAGCCCCCTCCTGATCTTAGTACCACTGTACCAGCCCCGATCACAAGTGTCACCAGATAGTGGGAGCTCAGGTGCTTGCTTACAAGGTGCTTACGAGAAGAACAGCTCCTTGGCAGAAGTGGTCAGCTCCTAAAGCACGGGCCAAGGTGGGCGCCAACCCTGCTCCAAGATGTCTAACAGTATCGGAAACGATGGCCCAGGCATTTTGAGGACCCAGGAGTCTGCCCACTCCAGTCAGGACTGAGGACCCTGGTGAGACCTCCCCCAGGAAGGAGGATCCTAGGAAGTCCTCTCCCGCCCCCCACATACACCTAGAAAATATTCTCTTGCCAACACCTGAAATTTCATACTCACATAATAGCTGTTTAGTACATGCTTTGTAATAAGGAAATTGATTGCATGTTTACTGTGTGCCTAGCCCATCTGGAATGTTGTTTAAAACACAAATCTCATTAGGGATGAACTCAGCCCAGCCATAAGAGGGAAAGAAGAGACTCGAGATCTCATTAACATGGCCTGCACCCAGCAGTGCTCTGAAGCCCCCACGGCAGCCCATCCCCAGACTCAGGCCCAGGGGGCCTGCCTGACGGAACAGTAGCATCTGGAACTGAGAACACACCGGAAGCAGCAGAACAAGCAGCAGAATAAGCCGGGGCAGGAAAATGAAAACAAGTTGAGATACTTGTGGGTGTAAAGGTGCAAAACATGCCACAGAGCCCATGCTGGGACTGATATGACCTTGAGGGGACAGATTTATATAAATGGGGATCAAACCTGACCAGTCTTTGTATAGTGACAGTCCACACTGCATGGGTGGGGACAAGCAACGAACCCATTGTCCTCTGCCTGTTTTCCTGTGCAGTCACATTCTCTCCTTACCTTCCCCTTCCACCCTTCACATTAAACAAGGGAACACTCGCTCTTTCAAGGGAATTACACATTTGAGTTAATGTTTCAGTATATCATTTTCATACTGTAAATTATTTTGTAAGAGAGATTTACCGCTATCCCAGGATGTTTGGACTCAGCGCCCCTGTGCATTTGGAAATCAATAAACTATTACTGGAAATACCATTCGTCTCTGAGAGTTGTGCACAAAGGAGTCTGCTAAGCGTAAATATTCATGATGATCTCCATCCTTAACTGTGGTGATGCCGGAGAGCGTGGTGTGTGGTTGTCAGATTCAGATGCTCATTTACTCCTGGCTTCTCCAGGGCAGCTTCAGGGGTCTCTGGGAAGAGACAAGCAGACACACTTAAAGTCGTCATTTACAGACATGTTTTCTCCTCAAAGTAACACAATCTATGCCTAGGTTAAATTTTCTGAACAAAGTTAGATTTTAACCCAAAGAATACTTGATCACGAATGATGTTTTCAAATAATATTTACAATTTAGATTAACCAGGGGGAACATCAGATTTTAATATTTATATTTTCTCGAAATAAAAAAATCTTTGTAGGGCAAATTACAGGTAGGCCAGCAAAATCATCTCTGTGGAACCTTGGAGCTATATGTTTGCTATAGTAATTTTTTGTTTTTTGGTTTTTTTTTTTTAAGTAGGCTTCATGCCCAGCATGAAGCTCAATGCAGGGCTTGAACTCATGACCCTGAGATCAAGACCTGATCTGAGATCAAGAGTCAGACGCTTAACTACTGAGCCACCCAGGCACCACCCCCGCTGCCCCCGACCTGTGGGGCTACACTGAAACCAGAAGTCATATGCACAGAGGCAAAATGTGAGAAGCCAGGATAGTAGACACTTTGTGAACCTAAAGTGCAAGTCCTGCCTAAAGGCATTAAAATCCTCTGATTAAAAACCCACCAGCAGGCGTGTCTGGAACAGCTGCGGTTTATGAACCCTACTCTAAATTTCGTTTGAAGAAATTTGTCTTCATCAGACCTCGTTAGTTAGCTGGGGGACTGGGTGAACTTCGGAGAAATTGTCCAAGATAGGGAGGTGAGTCGGTCACTCAAGGTCGCCCAGTGAGCCACACCGATTAGCCAGGACAGCAGACTCTCTGTCTCTTAGAGCGTTATTAGACGCTCCTTCCTCTCTCCGGTTGCTGAGGCCATTTCTGCCTGGTGGGATGGGGCTGCCAAGCCTTGCAGCACTCAAGCGTCTCAGTGTTTAACAGACCACAATGTGTTTGGAGGTTTCCTTCCCCACTGGCTGGTGCCAGTATCTCAACATCACCTCCCATTGCCCCAGCCCTTTGCGTTTTATTGTCTTTCCCTCGGAAAGCTACAACTCTCTACTTTGTTTCATTGATCTTCCCTTGGTCCAACTTACAGGTGTCCCCATTTCCTTTACAGTCATAAAAGGGTGAAATTGGAGCTTGTCTGGAACATCTCCTGGCCCAGAGGTACGCACATCCAGCAGAAAGCCAGGCTGCCAATCTTAATAAGAGAAGAAAATGTCACAGAAAAACAAAAACAAAAGAGCACTTAAAGTCAGTAACTGACTGCGTTGGGTATGTCTCCGTACTTGTTAACTATTGTAATCTTCCAGGTTAAATCCTTGTGTTAATAACACTAGCTGCCATTGAATGAGCTCTTTCTCTGGGCCAGGCACTGGCCTAGTTGCTTTGTACATTATCTTTTTTAATTCTCAGAGCACTGACACTTTCATCTCCTATTGTCTTGCACAAGAATCAGATTTACAGAGTTAAATACTCTGCCCAAGGTCACATCCTAATAAACAGGAAGCCAGGATTTAAACCTAGCCCTAAAAGGGTTCAAAACCACTGCTCTTAATCTCTCCCCGTCAGCGGCAGAGTCTGCCTTGTGTTGGTGAATAACACCCTGACCAGCACACATGCAGGGAGGCCTTGGGGCAGAGGACCTTGCCCCTTTGTTAGGCCTTGCTCTGAACAGTCTACAAGGTACAGGGTACACAAGGGAAGGAGGGCTAAGGATGGCAGTGAAAACCTCTTTTAATTCGAAACTGCGCTTTTGGAGGAAAGGAACGATTAGATTTTCTTAGTCTCTTTTCTTCCAAGGCCATAAATAATGAAATCATCAGGGGAGACAGAGCCGTGGCTTCTTCTAGCATAGTCTTAGAATCCCGAAAGTCAGCCAGCTCTGACACGGAGTCTTTAATTTAATTAAACATCTTGAAGAGGTCTCCAACAGATTGACGTTGGGCCAGCTTCATATTCTTGGAAAGGGACTGCGAAAAGAGCTTGTCTATTTTATAGTCCATTTGCTGAGTGTCACCGTCGTGGCCACAGCTCACAGCAGACCAAGTTGCCTTACAAAAATGGCCCACAAACTTCCCACCAGTTTGGGGACTCAGTCGCTACTCATTTACCTACAGCTCAGCGATCTGTCAGCTTCACTTATCCTTATTTCTGGAACACGAAATCCAAACAAGTGCTCTGACCATGAGTAATTGAGACAGAACTGGAAAAATCTAGAACCTCTGCTGGACCCACTCACAAAAGATGGAGAACAAGGAAGTGACGAGCCAGGCCCCTGACTGGTTGAAATAAATACTATGAAGCAAATACATAAGAGAAAGGCCATACATCCACCCATCAAGCCTCTAATCAGAAAGGATTCCCACATCACACGTAGTTCTAAGTGTTTGACATCTGGTTTCCAAGATCCACCACGGATTTAATGTAGGAGTGAGAAACAGACTTCTAGGGGAAACTTAGGACAAGGAGGGAAAAAGAGCAATAGAAAACACAGAAACATTTAAATATACCAAAGAGCTCAAGCCACACTGTTAGTGCTCAAAACAACTCCACACACACGTCAGTTCCTGAGGGGACTGCTGTGTTATAGAGCAGCTTAATCATATTCAAAATGATGACCCTGAGCATCACACCTAAAGAAATGAAATTGTGCCTGGAAAGAAGGAAAGAATTTGCATATCAAACATTTTACAGGTGTTCATATCCTAAACGGTATAGAACAAAACAAACAACTTTCAGGGGTTAAAAGCAATAAACCTCTGAGCATTTAGCTAAATAAAACAAAACATCGCCCTACCTGAGGTTTCATTGTTCCTTGAGCCTCTCATGTTTAGGGAGTTTTCACCGTAGCTTTGTAAGTGACTTTCATGCTACAGCGCTTTGCATATAATGGCATGAACAATGGAAGTGCCAAGCCTTCCATTGTGATGAATAAAATTAATAACCAGAATACAGGTCAAATTCTGTTACGACAAATACTGCCACTATAAAAATCACTTAAGCATCCCTGTTATCTCTAAGGCCCTGTCAATTGCCCATTTATTTCAAGCAATAGTCATTACAACCAAATCGGAGTATAACGAAAAGAAACAGGACCCTCACCAAAAGTTGGGTGTAACACAATTTAACCTGTAGTGACGCATTCTCCCTTGTATTTCTCCAGTTCTTTGCCACAAGAAGAATAAACCTTACGTAGATGTAGTACCAGCCCAGGAAGCTGGTGTTTGTTAGTTGTTGTTAAGAGAAGAAAACTCAGAAGAAAGGGTGCACGGAGTTGTGTGGTAAGCCATCTCTAGGGAATTTGGTCTCCGGGGCCACTTTTGACCTTAATCTGCCTTGGAGCCAGCAACCACAGAGTCGCTTGCTTCCAGGAGTGAGGTAATGCATATATTAAGCCCTGGAATGAAGACGCGATTCATTTCCCATGGATCACTGAGCACTTTGTGGCAACCTGGCCCTGCTCTGATGACCCTAAGATAAAGAAATCCAGAAGCATGCGACTTGAACCATCCTTTCTCCCATGATGCACTACTGTCAACACCGCATAATTGTAAAAGCCCATGCCACGTTGATTATGTATAGAAATGATCTAAGTTAACTGCATTCCATTTGGTATACAAGCAAGGATTTTTTCCATGCCTCTCCATCTTTTACTGGTGGCAACGATGAGTTTTATCATTTGCTACATGTTTTCTTCCTTCCTTCCTTCCTTCCTTCCTTCCTTCCTTCCTTCCTTCCTTCCTTCCCTCCTTCCTTCCTTCTGTCCGTCTGTCCTTCCTTCCTTCCTTCCTTCCTTCCTTCCTTCCTTCCTCGTTCATTTGTTCCTTCCTTCTTTCCTTTCTTACACCCTTCTTTCATCCTTCCTTCCTTCCTTCCTCTTTTTCTTCCTTTTACTTAAATATTTATGACTACATTGCAACCAACATTTTGTAACACCTTCAGCACAGAAGGGATTCAATCATAATTCACTTCTGAATGGTACAATCAGCAATAGGAAGAGCAGCGGGGAGGAATATTGTTCACCATTTCTCGATGTTATAATGCCTGGCTTGGCCCCCAGATTCATGTTATACCCAGAAGAAGTTCATAAATTCTGGGCGCTGCTGAGCTTGAGGAGGCTGGCAGTACCTCATCACACCTCAGGGTGACATGAGTGGTCTGTTGGAGCTCTGCCATTCCAGAACATGTCCAGCCCTGCCTGTTTTCCCTCTCGAGCCAGAGTGTAGTTAAGCATTTGCACATCCCAGGCCAGGAGAGACTAGGTTTAGGAGAGCTTGAATGTTTTGCTTGCCTCTTGACAGCATTGAGTCCAAGTGTGGTTCTCTAGCTTCAAGGTGTCTGTTTGCTACCTCACCGTTTTTATTAGGACATCTAAAGATGGCAGGCGTTAATTAGGAAACAATTTTTCTGTGTTTGGCTTCTCTCCACACTTTTGGCCCTGTGAGACCTTTTGGACCAGGTTGGATGGCTGTTTCCTGGTATCAAATTCTGCCTATTCCAGATGAAAGAACCATGATAGAGGAGCAAGACTGTTATTTGCCTTAGCAGTAGCAGCAGCAATGGTGATATCAGTGGTGTGGTTATAGATGGAGGTGAGGATAAAGAATCCACTAGTAGGGGTGCTTGGGTGGCTCAGTCAGTTGAGCATCTGACTTCGGCTCAGGTCATGATCTCACGGTTCGTGAGTTCACACTCTGCATCAGGCTCTGCGCTGACAGCTCAGAGCCTAAAGCCTGCTTCAGATTCTGTTTCTTTCTCTCTCTCTGCTCCTCCCCCCCAAAAAATAAATAAGCATTAAATTTTTTTTATAAAAGGGAAAAAAAGGAATCCACTAATAAGTAAGAATAAAGCTGGGTATTTCTCAGCAAATCTCCCATTTGCTAACAGGTGGGTTCTGATCTATTTTCCCTAGAAAACGCCGGCATCTAATCAAACAAGAGCATTCCTTCTGAAATGATACCTAGCACACTTATGACCAGACTATACTTGCCTGTTAATTTACTCAAAACAGGGATGCCTGCTAAGCCCCCTTCCCCACCTCTGGCATAAGGACCAGATGTGTGGAGGAGGAATTAGGTCACCAGAGTCCACTGCTGCCTATGGCTTAGTGGTGTAAAGAAGCCAAGGTTTCTAGAAGTATCCGTCTTTTGCCATTTCTGAGATGGTGAGAAAATCCATCTGGCGTGTTTATACCCCTCTTGAGAGCCAAGCCATAAGCTTCCTTTTATATTGTGCTATGAGCTTAGTCACCGCCCCCAGGAAAGACAACCTCACGATGACTTCCTTCCTCACAATCACTGGAGCAGCTCAGGAGGGCATGCACGCCGCTGCACTCCTCAGGGCCTGGCACACTGTCAAACGGTAAACTTGCGGAGCAAATCAGAGACCCGGCCTGGTTCGCAAGGCGGGCAGGAGTGATCCAGAGTTCAGGCTGCCCCTGTCCTTTTAGCCTCTCACCCTCCTTCCTCTGCGCCTCCGCCTCCTTTCCTTCCGGTCTCTCCATCTGGAAACCATGAGCCTCGTGGATTCCAGACTCAAATTCTCAGATTGCAGATGTTTGGGAAATTTCTCTGCTTGGGTCATTCTTCAAGAGTAAAAGAATTCAAGATGGGAGGGAAAACAGCTGAGACCCTTCCACAGAAAACAAAGAAGGTGTGGTGCTTATCCATGCCCTCTGCCAACTCAGCGCCAAGCCCACAGCAATATCTAACTTCAGAAAAAGTACGGAGCTCTGTCCCTCAGCCCCCGGAAGAGAACAGAATAGAAAAACAAAATCTCCACTCATAATAACATACTTTTCTCCCTGGTGAGGCATAAACACAACTGGCATCAGATAATAAGACCGAATTGATGTTGTGTGTGTTACTAGGGGAGGGAAGTTTCTCTGGAGAGTAGAACTGCCCACGATGGGATGAAGTGAAAGGTAAACTTTAGCCTAAATTGTTAGGGAGAAACTGTTAACATTACGAACCACTGCACTCTAGTGTGGAATCTCCAGGAAAAAAGAGCAATGTGTGGTCTTTGGAACATGAAACGAGCTTGTTCCTGATCCCGGTTTCAGAAACAGACAAACTTGGTTCTGGTCCTGGCTCTGTCCTTAGCTCGGAGGGATTAAATGAGAAGCTGGATCTACAGGACCTACCTGGACTTAGGAAGTGGTAGCTTGTGATTACTATTTCTTGTGATGATGTCATGCATCTGAATGGAGTCTTCTGGGGACTGTGGAAGATGGAGCTTGCCCTTAACATTGCCCCACACTGGCTCCTCTGCTCAGCCTCCAGCTCTTCCCCAAGGCCACTTCACAGCCCTCTCTACCACACCCACCCAATTACACTTTCATATCAGTTATAAGTATCTCAAATTATATGCGCTTACTTGTTAATACAGTAATTTTCTGAAGGCTGTATTGTCTGTTCACTGCTATATTAACAATGCTAACAAAATCGCCTGCCACAAAAGAGATGTTCAAGAAATACTCCTGGACTTTGGGACTAATGTGTCGATAGCATCCATATCCAGTGTCACTCCAGATATTATATCTTGATGCAGAAGACTGCGAGACGCCCTTAGCGACATCTACACCAGCATGAGTGTCCAAAGCCCGTGGTGCCATCAAAAGGCACCTGCTTTCCCCAGGAGAAGGGGGACAAGAGCTGGGAAGACTAGCCACCACCTCCGCCATGCCATGCATGAGCTGTGCAGCACTTGGCAGGTCAGCTTCCCAGTCTGAACACTCCTAAAATGAGGGGGTAGCGTCTGCCAGATTGGATCTCTCCACCTCTTCCAGCTCTAACACCGTAAGGTCTTAGCAAAGTGAGAAGTGACGGTAGCAATGGAAACACCTTCCTTTAAGAATCCCCAACTCTTCCTCCCCTCCGTGAGTGTGAGTGTTCTGTGTGTGTGCATGTGTGCACGTGCATATGCGAGATATGTATGCATGTGTGTCCACGGGGGGCTGTGCACACACACTGGGGCTATCCCAGGAAAGGTGGACTCAAACATAGACTTTATGGAGAGCAGTGGTTCCCCAAATGCTTTGGACTCAATATTCATGTACCCCCCAAATTCATACGTTGCAGTTCTACTTCCCAGTGTGATGGTATTAGGAATAATTAGGTCATTAATGTGGAGCCCTCATGGATGGGATCAGTGCCCTTAGAAAGGGACCCCAGGGAACTTGCTCCCTTGCCCCTTTCTCCATGTGAGGACATGGTGACAAATGGGCAGGCTGTCACCTGGAGGAGGCCCTCACAAGACCCTGACCATGACCTTGGACTTCCAGCCTCCAGAACTATGAGGAATCAACTTCTGCTGACAAAGCATCCAGTCTACGGTGTTTTGTTCTAGCAGCCCTGGCAGACTAAGACACTAAAGTGCGCCTGAGCCATGAAAAAATGCACTGTAGTCAAGGTAGTCAAGTAACATGGGAAGTGAAAGAGGAGGCTGCACAAAGTCCCTATGGGACTTCTCAGACCTTCTAATATGTTCGTGAGCATCGTGGAACTTCGAAAGGAACCAGGTATGGTGTTCTGATGTTCCATGAAACAGTTATAGAAAACACAGATTTAGAGAGGAGTCCCAATGACCTCATTCAACTGGTGAACAATCAGGCCAAAAGAGAATGATTTGCCTGAGGTCATTGGGGAACCTGGTTCTTATCCAGATTTGTCTACAATCTCCCAGAAGAGAAAGTCTGGTCGTGACCCAAAAGCCCACATTAGAACATTCTGGGAGATACCCCAAGCTTTGATCTTTGACCCTAAAGGGAAGTGAGCTTTCCACAGGGTGGAATTTCTAGTCTCGGGGCTTGCACAGACGTTGGCGTTCAGCACAAGAAGATCTTTCTCATCAGTGGCACCTTCTAGAATATGCGGTGCAGCTCTAACAAGCCATGGCTCTGTCTCCTTCTCTCTCTCTGGTTCTCTTCCTCCACCCCCACCCCCTACCCACACTCTCTTCTCCAGCTTGCATCCTGGGGTTACTGCTGTGGCAAGTAAAGACAGTGCTAGCCTGCTTGACTGAGACCTGTGTCCCCGCGATACACCAGGCACAGGGGAAGGTGCTCAGTGAGCCTCGTGCATTGGCAGGACCCTCCAGCCCAGCTCACTGGTTACCTCCATTCTCAGGACTAGGAAACTGAGGCGTAAGTTCGTTAAAAATGAGAGTCTGTGGGATGCCTGGGCGGCTCAGTCCGTTAAGCTTCCAACTCTTGATTTCGGCTCAGATCATGGTCTCACGGTTCATGAGTCCAAGCCCCTGCATCGGGCTCCACGCTGACATTGTGGAGGCTGCTTGGGATTCTCTCT